AAACCAAACCATGTGGTAATAAGGCATTGCCATCTCTTCTGGAAAACTGTCTAGCACTGAAAATAAGATTGAGAATGAAAAGTGCCTTCTTAATGAGAAGAAGAACTACCTTCTTTGATAGGCCCCTTTGTAAGCATGCTTCAAAGCACAGCTTCTGTGATCCAGATCTTCCAATTGGAGTTTCAAAGGCTTCTGCATGTGGTTGTTGCATGTGGTGTTTCAGGAGTGCCAAAAAGAAGAAAAAACCTTTAAAAAAACCCAAAATCCCCAAACTTTGAGACCTGTTCCTGAGATGGTGCATGAAGAGCCCACAAGTTCCTAAGTAGGGTGTAAATAAAAAGCCTTTAGGAAGAGTTTTGCTAGGTAAGGAGTAGAAGGAGAGAGAGATGGGAGATAACCTGGGATGGTTTTGTGTGTGACAGTAAGTCAAGCAAAGTCTCTTCTCTACCTCAAGGTGCCTTGCTAAAGCTTACAAACCACCAGCACTACAACCCACAGCAGCAGCCTAACTCCTCCATCTGCATTTTTGGGGAGGTGGAGATGCAACAAGACACTTACAACCTCTTGTTTGGGAGTCTTGACCCAAAAGGGCTCCTCAGAGCTGACAAGATTAATACCTAAGCCTTGAGTCATGGCAGTGTATTGATTGGAGATGCTGCTCTGGAATTGCCCAGCTCTGACAGAGCTACAGAGGACTCCACACACAATCCCTGCTGCTTCCAGGCAGTTTATGCTCCCTCTGGAGAGCTGAGGACATTCAACTTTAATTTGCTGTGACCAAGAGGAAGCCACAGTGTCTGGGTCTCCAGTGTAGAAGGGTGAGGATGTGCACACCCTACACTTCAGGTCTTCTATGCACTGATCACAGAACCCTTTGGGTTGGAAAGACCTTTCAGATCATCAAGTCCAACCCTTAACCCAGCATTGCCAAGCCTACCACTAACCCATGTCCCTCACCCCACATCTCCATGGCTTGGAAACCCCTCCAGGGGTGGGGACTCCACCACTGCCCTGGGCAGCCTGGCACAGCCCTGGACAACCCTTGCAAGGAAGAAGTTTTTCCTCATGTCCAAGCTAAACTTCTCCTGGGGCAACTAGGGGCCATTTCCTCTTGTCTCCTTGGGAGGAGAGACCAACCCCAGCTTGCTACAACCTCCTTTCAGGTAGTTGTAGAGAGGAACCAAGTCTCCCCTGATCCTCCTGTCCCCACAGGAGGCTCAGGCCACTCCTGAGCAGCTCTGAGAGGTGGGCTCATGGTTCACTGGTGAAAATCCTGGCCCAGAGCCACCCTGGACTGCAAAGGAAGCAGATTTTAACCTCTTTTTCTGCATGGTGCCTCACAAGAGAACCTTCCCCCTCCAGCCCTGGCTGCTGTGCCCATTCAACTTGACCTGTTGACAAGGAGCCAAAGAGCACACAACAAAAAGAAACTGGACTTCATGTGAGAGGTTATGAGTCATTTACAAATGAAGTGTTGCTTGTACTGTGGGAGGCAGGAAGGGCAGCATCAACCCAACAGGTAAAGAGTACATGCAACACTCCACCATGGCCAGGCTTACCCAGAGAAGAGGTGGGCACCAAAAAGTGTTCCCACCCCACAAAAACTCTGCCTACTGCACCAAAATTTCACCCACATGCACAAGAACAGCAAGTAAAAGCTCTGGAGGGTCTTTTCCTCCCTTAAGAAAGTGAAGGAGAAGAAAAATTACTTTCTGTGAAGAAGATGGGCACTTGGAGTGTAACAACACTGATGTTTTCTAACCCAAAAAAATCAACCAAACCTCCTTCCCTCCTCTGCTCAGCTGCATCTCTAAGGATGTGGCTGCTCCAAGTGGAAAAATGGGTCTGAAATTGCTCTGCAGGAACAAGCACTCCTGCAGCACAGTATTTCCCTTGACAAAAACATTTCATTGGATTTTTTCCCCTTCAAATGTTGCTTAAAAGTCTGGATTAAGAAAAAAAATTATATATATTTATAGCCACTTAAGGCAGAAGGGGGGAAAGCAAAGAGAGGAGGTGTGTAGTATGTGCAAGACATTTTTCCCCCCCCTCTTCAGATCCTGGCAGACTAATTCCTCCCTCACTCTGCTGCACAGCAAGCTGAGTTGATGTCAAGGCAGCAATACCTGGGGAGGCTCCTGCAGGAGCTTCACAAGCTGTCCTGGCTCTTCAGCAGCACATTCACAACTTTCTGCTGAGCCTACAGCTTCTCCCTCTGATCCCACCCCCTCTGTGCACTGCTCCAGCAATATCACCATGCTGGCTACCCAGGGGCATGACAGAAAACTTATTCTCTCCTGGTTTGGGCATTTATCTGTCCCTACTTAGCTACCTGCCAAGAGTTAGCACTGGGCTGAATTCACCTAAATTCACTAGATGAATGATAGATGGGGTCTATTAATCCCTCTCCCTTTCCCAAAAGGATGGGAGAGGGAATAAGGAAGAGAGACTTATGGACTGGAGCACTAAAACAGCTCAAATGAAAATAATAACAATAAAATGAGAGATATACCAATATATACCCACCCAACCCTCCTGATGGCAACTGTGTCACCATCATCAGGGAATCAGATTCCAGAGCTGGATTCTGGAACTGGATTCAGGAACACATGGATCAGGATTGAAGGTAGAGTGGACAGAGCCCTCCTTGGACACCAGCCTTTGAAGAAGAGGCTTGACCCTTGTGATCCCTCAGCTTTACACTAAACATGACATGGATGGGATGGAATCCCTCCTTGGCCAGTTTGGGGTCACCAGTCCTGGCTGCTCCTCCTCACAGGTGCCACCTCCTCCTGCACCCCAGCATGAGATTTCACAGTGACCTGGGTCTGCAGAAGAACAAGTCTAAGCAGGAGCCTTTCTGGGCTGTGTGACAAGGTGCTGTCAGCTTCACAGTGCAGTGACTTGGAAGAGACTGAGCTGAGAACTGAAACCACTGAGCAGGGTTAGTTCTGTCCAAGCTGCCCACTTGCACATTCGTGCTGCCTACTTCCACAACAGGATTCACTCTCACAGTCTGTTGCAGCAACAAAAAGAGGTTATTCACTGCAAAAATCTGCTGGCACAGTCCTGCCAGCCACAGCCCTCCTTCAGCAAAACTACCCCCCTTGAGTGTGCTCAGGATCTTGCCTGTCATGGGTCTGGGATCACTTCCTGCAGTGCCACCAAGCTCAGTAAGAGGTTTCTGTGAGGTCCCACCAAGCTGCTGTGCTGCAGAGCTGCACAAGGACTTCTCTAGAGGGGACAGGAAGCTATCAGATGGAAAGAACTGTAAACAGGAAGATTTTTCTTGCATGAGTTTAGGTCCTCCTTAGCACAGAAAATACAGCAGCCCATCCTGGTGGCTTCAAGAAACACCTTGTTAAGAGAAAACTTTAATACCAAAGAATTTCCTCATCAGAAGGTTCTGATCTGTTTTTACTTCTAGGCAGGTCACTGAGCCTGGAAATTCTGGCAAGTTTGCTACTAAAGAGTTGCTATATAGGGAAATAGGATGAGCTTAGAGGTCTTTTCCAACCCTAAGGATTCCATGATCCTGTGAAACCCACATAAGGTGACTACACCAGCATCTGACAGGCCTGGAGTCAAGTCTCTGGGGCAGCCTCCCTCCTCCCTTTCCCACTTCTGGGAGATGAGGAGGAGATGCCTACTGAGCCAAAAGCCAAACCAACCCTGCACACAGCCCTTCAGCAAGCTGCTGAGGACCTGGGCACAAGCACCCCAGCTCTCCAGAGTGCCAGCCCTGGAATCCACCCCGGGGATGCTGCAGCTCTGAGCCCTCCCCACGGCAGACAGAGCAATGACCCAGTCTGGCAAACAGGCAGCTTGCAACACCTCTGGTCAGATGAGTCAGGCGTGGGATTTATTCACTGCCCAAGGCCAGTATCTCCTCTGAATGCCTTTGTGTCTCTCCCTTCCCATTTCACATCCCTCTGTCCAGCTCTCCCCAATTCCAGTCGAGGGTAAATCAAAGAATTATGGAATTACAGCAGTGCATTCCTTCCTGTTTCTCCTCTGCTTTCATGTCACTGTTAAACCTGGACAACATGACAGAGAAAAGGTAAAGCTGCAAGCAGCCATTGCTTCCTTTCTGTGCATTACCTGATCTCTCCTGCTGTCACCAAAATCACACTGGAAAATGACTGGGAAGAGTCAAGGAAATGAGATCTCCTCCCTCCCACAGAACCAGCCTGTAACCATCACTCTCCTCACTTTGCTTACGAGCTGTATTCCTTTCCCCCACCCTGTCTTCCAGTTTCTTTGTAGGCTGCAGACTATGATATGGGGAATTTGTGAAGTCTTCATCAGCTCTGAGGTGTTCCACCATGCAAATGATCAAATCCTGAACTGGGGCAGAGCGAGGGGAAGGAACATCCATGGGATTGAACAGTTTGTTTCCACAGTTGACAAGTGTACACATTGCCACATCCCTATGAAGGAAACTCCATGAAATTGGGCAATTTGGCTTCCAGAGAGATCTGCAAAGCAGTACAAGTCCTGATGTATGTATTTAAAACCAAGATGAATGACCCCAAAGAGGCAGGTTCACAATGGGACTCAGATGCCTCATGACAACACACCACCACCACAGATGCTCCAGTACAACCACTTGCATCCATGACTCTGAAGTCACAAAACTAGAAGCTCCCATCCATTTTGGCTCTATATTTTTGTGCTTGGAGAAAAAAATCCATCCCATTTGTCAAAATAATAACAACAAAGAGACCAAAGAACACTCCTGGGTATCTGTGACAAGTATACATGAAGAATACATGAAGAGAGCTAAAAGATCTTTCTCAATTCTGACTTCTGCCACAACTGAAGCATCCTGGTAGTTGTAGAATGTATGTGTGCCACGCCACACTTGCAGATCACAGTCAGCCCCCATTTTCTGCCCACGGAGGTGTCTTTGGGCAGCCTGTAAGCCCTTCCAAGCAAACAAAGCCAGCCCTCCATCCTGTAACCCCTTCCAGACTGCCTGCTCCCAGCTGAGCACTCACCTGTGCATGTTTCCATTGGTGGTGAAGGACTGGCCACACACAGAACATTTGTAAGGCCTTTCCCCTGAGTGCACCAGCATGTGGCGATCCAGGGAGCTCGCTGAGCTCAGAGACTTTCCACAGATGCTGCAGGAATGGTCCGTCCCTCCAGTGTCAGTGTTGTGCTAGAGAAAGCAAGGGTTGGGTTTTCATTGAGTGGCCCCCCTCCTGAAGCACCAGGAAAAGATGAGTGAGAATGATAAACACCTCCAAGAGCCACCTGGCACCATGTTTTAGATGAAGGCGTGCCCCTCGCGTGCCTCCCCAGCCCTCCCCTCTCGACTCCACCCCCACCCTGGGGTTTATTTTTAATGATTTTTAACTCCATGAGGCACCAGCACGTGGCAGTTGTTTGGTACAGCTTGCACCACGTGCAGCTTTCCTGCTGGGTGTGTGGCAGGAGAGGACAGAAAGGGACTGAGCAACAACCCACTGGAGAAATGGTGCCTTGGGATAGCTGCAGCTGGGCTGTGGTTTGGGGCTGAGCGAGGGGTAAGGAGGAAAACAGAAAGAGGATGTAAGTAGGAAGACCCTGGCAGAAGAAAGACAGTTAAAAACAAATAGTCTTTAAAGCTGTTCATTTCAAACTGACTGTGCTGTAAGAAAACAGCAGTGAAATGCTCATGAGTGCACATGGAGAGCTCCATGGCTGTGAGAATGGATTCCAGGGCCAAAATAGCTACTGTGCTGAATGTACCACTCCTTCTCACTTGCATTCAGAGACTCACAGATTTCTCCCCATACCAAAAAACCCCAATGCCAGGAGAGGAAGAAAAAGAAAATCAAGTAGCAGTTCCAGTACAGGAGGGACAACTGAAGTAGTAAGTCTCTAGTGGACTCACAGTGGTGAACCACAACCTCAGCATCCCAAGCAGAACCTTCTGACACAGAAAAGGCCAAACCTCCTAAAGAAGTATGAATGTATTTCAAGAGGAGGAAGAAGAGGCCTGCAGCTGACCAAAAAAGTGCCTCATCCACCAGAAAAGTGTATTTTTAATTCTGCCTCCCCACACTGCTCCAGCCTGTGAAGGACTGTGGAGCTCTTCTACACTGAGATGATTTTAAAGTTGTGTCTTCCTGCTGCTTCATTTGCATGGCCAGTAAAGAGAACTGTACTCAGGGTAAGACACCAGGACTTGTGACTCATGATGAAATGGTTTTACAGATCCATGGGCCATGCAGAGCAGGACACACCTCCTTGTTTGAGCCACTGGCAGGGGGAGTGTTGGGGAAGGGAGGGAGGAAAATAACCCACCTCAGGGTGGGCTTGTGGGGTGCTTTGTTTTTTAAAGAAAAATACAAACAGAAGGTTAAAATAAAAGCAAAACAATTGAATCCAGTTGTAAGGAGGAATGAAGTTCTGGTTGGCACATGGAAAAATGCAAAATGCCCCGTGGCAAACCAGACACTCTTAGAAGGAAGAGAGCAAGAGCCAGAGCCCTGCATACCTGACGAATGTGCATAGTTAGTTGGTGCTGTGTAGTGCAAATCTTTTCACACAGAGGACAGGTATAGGAAGACTTCTCTTCTTTTGTTTCCTGGGAATGAAACAAAACAAACAAAAAAAAAAAATCAGAAGGAATATTGAGATAGAAAAGCTCAAAAGCTGTTACTGCTGGGGATGGATAAAATAGAATCCATCCTTAGTCCCAAAGGGCACTGCAAACAGAACCACTCACACGGATCCATTCATCATCCTGATAGAGCCCTCAGGGCAGCTTCAGAAACTTCTTCATTTATAAAGAGGGGCCGTTTCAAGGACCACAGAAATGCAGCAGCTGTTTTAACAGCACACAGACACTGGCAGCAGCAGTTTAGGACAGGAAGTGAAGGCAATTATGGCAACCAGCTCAAACTGCCAGGAGGTGCCTGGTAGGTGAGTAGAAACCATGTCCTGCAACACCGCCAGAAGACGTGGGCAAGTGGCACCAATCTCCCCAAAAGATCTTTCCTCAGCACAAGCTGTTGGGGTTGAGGTTTTCCACCCCACCTCAGTGGCAAGGCCCTAGCTGGGTGCCCTGTTCAGGGGCTGCCTGTTCTGAGGCTGACTCAGGAGGAAAGTGGCGTGTGGACTGAATCACCAGAACCATTTCCCTCAGCATCCTGTGTTTCTCCTGGAAGCATCCCATCCAGGCACACCAGCCAGGCCCAACCCTCCTCCTGGAGCTTGCAAGATCTGATGAGGTCACAGCAAGAAAGAGGTGGCACTGCAGGAGCCTACGTGACTCGAGCAGGACCTGGTGTGAACCTGGCTACTCTCCACCCAGGGGAGAACCAGGAGGAAAGGGCCTCAAACCACGACTAGAGTCAACCAGAGAGCTCAGCCTGATTCCAGGTATGGCCTTGAGACCCTCAGCAAAGCCACCAGCCAGGGGTGAAGTGGCAACCTCTCAGGAACTGGAGGCATCTGCCTGGACCTGGCCACAAGGGTGGCTACTGCCTAACAGAAGGGTTATTTCCACCACCTTGCTAGGTAGCCCAGGCACAGCTCCTGCACCAGCACCTTGTATGTGGAAGCAACACCTTGTGTGAGGAAGATGAACCTCCTACTACCACGAGCCTCTCTGCTGTCTATTTGAAGTATCATTACTAAAACCCTGAAAAGGAGCAAAAACTAAAACCCAGTCCCAGCAGCAATTTAGCTGGGAGGGATTTGATGGGGGTGAGTGTATTTCCTCTCTCCACACAACTCCCTTCCCTCCATCACCGTTCCAAAAGTCATCAGCTCAGACCATTCCCACGTTGTCAGACACAAGCACTGGTTAGAATGACTAACCCCAGCCTCTGGGACAAATTCTCTGGCAGGTTAGGAGGGAAGATGCTGACACAGTGTTAGAGAGAGGTTAGGTCTCCATACAGCAATTATCACCTCCCACGTGATTTGGGGAACCATTTGAGAGAGCCCACTCTTAAAATCTAAAGGCTGTCTTTTCAAAAATAGGGGCATGATAATCTTCTGTCAACTCCAGTGACCTGGGGATGTTTGATAAAGAGCTATTGTTCCCTTTTCACCTGAAGCAAACAAGACTTGTGACTTCACTTGGAAAAGGATGGGGGCTGCAAGGTGAGGTCCTCCCACCACTCCTGACTGTTTCTGCTGTACATCCTTTTCCCAGGGCTCTCCACCCTAAAAGTAATCACTGCAGGCTAACTTACTGCCACTCACAAAGCTTTAGAAAGCAAGCAAGAAACATTTTCATTTTTAATTCTTATTAATTATTCTTACCCTGCCGTTCTGAAGCCTCAACACCCCAAGAAAATGAAGATGCATTATCCCAGTGTGTGTCCCCCTCCATTTTTACACACCATTTTCACATGCTCACTCCCTCCACCTTCCACAACTTGCATTTTACTCTACACGACCTGCCTGTGGTGTAATGTTCAGCTCCAATTATACTGCAACCCTGTTAAAGTTGGCTCAGGACAGAGAACAAACACGCTGTGCCACGAGGAAAATCCCTGCAGCTGTGCTGACAGTTTAGAGGGTGTTTAATCCCCAGGGTATGGCTGTGAAATTATCAACCTACTAGTTGTTTTTTTTTTCTGGTTTGCTCCCCTCCCTCCTTTAAACGAGGGCTGCAGTTCTACAAGGATGCACTTGATGGTTTCCAAGCTTGCTTCTTCCCAGACTGCCAGCTCTTCACATCAGCAAATTAACAGAAGACAGAGTAATTACTGGTTCACCTTGAAGCAAAGATCAGAAACACACTATAGCTCAGCCAGAGCTGATTAGTATTGAATCTGGGGTTTATTATTAACTAAAACCCAAACTTTCTCCAGTGGTCACCCAGGGTACGTGCCACATACCATAACACAGCTCAAGCAAAGCCAGGGGAGCTCCAACAGCAATGCCACTGCCTGACTCAATCCACACCAAGGCCCATCAGCATCCCTTCTGCAAAAGCACCCCCCAATTTAACAGGCAGCACTCTGGATACCCTGCCAGAGCCAGGCTGGGGAAAACACTTCCTGAGCTGAGAGATAAAATTAGCAGCTAATTTGTTAGCTACTCTCCCTTCAGAGTCACCCTGGCACACTGCTCTGCATTCAGCTGATGGTAAATGCTGGTGGAGTTGTGCATCAGGTCTTTTTGGTTTCCTCCAGCTGAAGGAAACACCTTTGTCAGGCTTTTTCTGTTCTTCAGCAGCAAAGCAGAGGAGAAGTTAAAATGGATGCTGCTCGACCTGAGAACACATTTATTAGACTGTGGGGAGACCAGAGCCAAGATAAAGTCAGTGTTATAAAGAGAACCATAGACTTTGGGACAAAGGTTCAGGGCAAACCATTTCACTGCCAGCTCGTGGGAAACAGCAGTCAGACCCAGAGAACCAGCTAACTGTTATTAGCCTTGAAATTATAACAAGGGGCACACTCTGAGCAGAATTTGGGAGCTGCACACTGCTACGTGCTGAAACAATTGGGTGTTTTCACTCTGCCAGGCTCAAAGTGGAAATTTGCTGTCTTAGAGGCTGCTAACCAGAGTGATACCCACTTAATACCTCCCATCTCACTCCTCTTTTCCCAGTAAAGTAGGCACTTGGTGATAACAATCTTTCAGCCTCAAACCAAACAGGCTATTTACTAGGTTTTGGATGTATTTGTTTATTTTTATGCTGTAAGAATCCCTCTTAATCCTGTCACATTTACTCCAGAGCTTCCTTTGATTCCATGCCCATCGAAATATCAGGTGGAATTAAAGGTCACTAACGTTAATAAACTTCCCTGCAGCCAAACCACATGGTGCATGGGTGGACAGCTGGGTAGCAGCACTGCCACTGAGACTGGTCTGGACTCTCCTCACATGATGAAATCAAGGAACCAGGGCAGCCCCAAAGCAGGAACACTGCAAATAAACCTTAACCAGGTGCAAGACAACGTGATCCCACTAATAGTGGCCCACAAGCTGTCCAGACTCTTCACTGAAGAATGGTCACTTAGAGGCTTTTAACTCCTTTCAAGTCAAAAAAAACATCTAAGACAAGTCATAAGTCTGTCAACTGGGCAGCTACTTGGCAAGCTATTAATAAACTACTATAGGAACATCACATGAGTCATGCCTCACAACCTTGCTGGGCCCTGTTACATCTTGATTCATTTAGAAATTCTCCCTGATTCACCACAAGCTCTCAAGTCAAACAGACACAGGGATTTGGGGTATTTCTCAACGTTCTGCAGCACCTTCCTTGGCAGGGCTTGCCCCAGCAGGAGAAAAACACAGAGATAAATAATCACAGCTTTAACTGATACAACTCCCTCCGTGGTTTAGATCAATACTTCTATCAACTGGTGCCATCAACTCACTAATGGAAAAAAAACTGATAAAAGTTACATATATTTGCTCTTCAAGATTGGTAGGAAGCATTCTGCAACAGCTCTTCACAGTTTTATTAACAATGAAGTCAAAAGCACTTTAGACTGCACACATGCACCCAGCATCCTGCTGGATGCTTCCTTCTAGCACCACCTTTAACCTTCCAATCACCTGGACCTTCCCTGGAGATGGCCACACACCTCACGAGAGGTCCCACAAACAGCCCAGCCATGCTCCCTGCCATGTCCCTCTGCTCCTCTCTCAGCTAATTCTTCTCTCCTAATTTCATGAAATGAACTGGTCCCTTACCAGATGAGATGAAAGCAAGAGCTTGGAAACAGGATGCAGCAAGGAAGAAGTGACAATTCTTGGGTGGCTTTGCCCCTGCCTCTGGTATCTGCTAGACCAGCTCACCACTGCACGACTTCAGAACTCGTGCTCATGTTTTACGTGTGAATCCAAGCAAGTGGATCCCCTGGAATCCCAATTTTCTGCAGTTATGCTCTAGAGAGTCACCAGAAAACACACACACACAGAGGAGCAACGGCAGAGACAACAAACACACACCCGCGGAGGGGGGAAGAAAAGGCAAAACAATGGAAGAATCACAATTCTGCCTCATCACTTCCCATGCAAGCTGCTCCTTCTTGCACCCTCCATTTGGGTTGAGGTACCTGGTTCCTCCTGCCAATCCGATTGGGTGCAGGAGACTTTGTGGGGGACTTGACATTTTGGGGGTTCCCGACGTTTTCGGCGATCTTCCCGGCGTTCATCACCGCCGACATCATGGCGTCGATGGAGGACAGGTCGGATCCCTCCAGGCTGTTTGGGGAGCTCGGGGACACCTTGTAGCTCTTTAAGCTTTCCAGCTGCTGCTCTGGAATCAAACCCAAAACCACACGTAGGAGTCGCTGGGCTGTTTGAATAGACCCCAACCAACCAAACCTTGTGGTGTTTTCGGCCGTATCACGCTCCCGTGGAGCACAAGCAACAGCTCATAATAACTGGCATTTAATTTAGGAACACGGTGTAGGGGACCAAGTTCTCTTTCTAGCCCAGCTCTGTATGTGCAATAAGCTAAATGAGCAAAAATCAAACCAAAACAACCCCCCCAATGCCTCTTTACTGCCACAGCTGGCATCTGTGTAGGGTTTTTATTCCTTTTTGGTCTACCAAGCCACCTTAATCCATGGAGCACGAGTGCTACAGCTCTGCAGACTCCTCCATCACACCCTCCATGCAGCAGGGATGCTCCTGTCCCAGACAGCAGACTCAAAACACACCTCCAATCTCCCCTCTGGTTTCTCAAGGTACCATGTTGAACACCCAGGCAAGGCCTTACAAGCTTCACACAGAAAATGTTTTCAAAATAAACCCTCAAAGCTTCCCCCCACCCCCCAAAAACAAGTCTCCCAGACAACCAGGAGCACCCTGCAAGTCTGTTGGTCTGTCTGCTCTGGTGGAGAGCACAGAAGCTTTATCTGTGTGGTGAGAAAGTCACCCTAACACAAGAGGATGTGAGGGTGAACAAGGAGGAACACGTCTGTCTGTGAACATTTGATCTCTGCATAATACTGCCTTTGGAAGAGAGGTTTGAGCATTATAAACAGGTGGTTTTTTGAGGCTAAGTAATGTGGTGCCAAGTCACTGGGTGCCAAGAACATCTCAGTTTGGAAGCCTGCAGTGGTAGTCGAGTATTTACGTGCCCATGCTTCTGCTCAGCCTATTTTTTTTCACTTTTCAGGCAGGAAAAGGTTAGGGATGGGAAAAGAAACACAGGCACCAGTGATTCTGCTCCATGTTTCACACTCTTCACACAGATCAGGGGCATGGAAAGGTAAGAAGTGTTTCTGCAAGCCTCAATCCATGCCCTAATTTACACACAGAGCTAGTCAAGGCAGTTACCTTCATTTTTATCCCCTGATGGACTGTGGCTCTCCTCTTGGCTGCTGGTCTCCTCACTTAGTGTAGTCTGGGTAGTGGCGTCTGGCTCCTCAGCCTCTTCTTCAGCAGCACCCTCTAGCACTGCAGGAGGGCGAAGGGGAAGAGCGAAAGGGACTAAGTTTTTTCTGGAAGCCTTTTCAGCAAAATAATACCACAGCTCTTCAGTTTGAGGGCCCCCCTAAAACCAGGCTGGGCCCCAGCATTCAGCCAGCAAAAAGAGGAGGAGGGAGAGGAGGAGAGGGCAAGCTAGCACATCACTGATGGTCGTGACATTTGGCTAAGAAGCTGGAAGAACACTCTGCAGCTAGAGAACTGAAGTCATTCCATTTCATACACACACTCCTCCTCCCCTTCTCTTCTTGGAGGATTAATTTACTCCAATACATGAATTCATGGTGACCTTTTTCTTCCTTCTAGCACAGCTACTGAGGTTTCTGGGACCCTCTGGCATATTCCTCACGCCCACTGCCCGAGGTTTTAAGAGGAGCTGAAGACATAAGCAACCAACCCCTGTATGTGCCAGCAGAATTTCTCCACACTCCTTTCTGCAACCACAAACTTATCATGCTATCGTTGGGGTTCCAGGAAGGATGCCTGTTCTGCCTGGAGAATGACAGGGCAGTTAAACATCATTTTTAGAGGTGACAGGGGATAATCAACCCCTGGGAAGGAGAGGAGTTCTCTCCAACAGCACCCACAGCAATAGGTTCTCTGCAACACATGCCACCAGGGCCACAGGTTTAATGGAGACATACACCTTCATAACCTTGCAAGCAAAACAGTGAGGTTATTATGGCAACAAACAGGCTGTGGACATTTCATCATCTCAGGTTGCCAAATCACATCCAGCAAACTTCAGACAGGTTTTCTTGCAGAGACCCTCAGCCTCAAACCACAGTTAACTCAACAGGGGTTCTTCCTTGTAAAAAAAAACCCCATATTCTCAAGGATGACATGCAAATCAATCACACAACACCTCTTCAAGTGCTGTCTGAACAGCATTTGCAAACAATAACTGCCTGTGTTATCCCAAGGACTGACATTTCAGAGGAGAAGAGAAAAGGCAGACAAAGAGAAAGGGCCCTGCTGGCGTCAGGCAGTTCCTCATTTCAAAGGGGCAGATTCAAACTCCCCACGTTCAACCACCAACCCTCTCAGGAGGTTCAACCACCTGAGCAGTAGCAGAGGATGGGACAGAGCCACTCAGCAAGGCCTGGAGACAAAACTTCTGTCTTTGTTTGTCTTTATTTTGTGTGTCCTTAACTGTTGTCACTTCGCTGTTATTTGTTTCTAAAAAAGGTCTGTCTCATTCAAAAGCAGCACAGACAAGTTGGGTTTTCTTCCTCTCTCCACCTTTTTTTAAACCACTTACATGGTAAGTGACTTCATTTTTAATTGAATAAGCACAAGAATTATTTTTAAGACTGGCCTAAATCTGAGTTGCTGGATAGATCAGCTTAGTACCACCAAAAATAAGGACCAGTTTAAATTAGCAGGGCAGATTTCTGTTAAAACAACACAAATAAGCACTTTAGTCCTTAAAAAAACCCCAACCAAAAACAACCCTCCCCTCCAAAACAGACCTATTCATTCCTCTTTCAGTCAATACCTAGGACATTACTGTCCCCACCAGTCATCCTGGAAAAAGCCAATCCATTGTGTAACTGGGAAGAGTCCTCTGTTGGCCAAGGCAACCTGGAAATTGCTGAGGACCCTCCCAAAGGACAAGGAAGGTCAGAATTCCTAGTGCTGCTTTCAGCAACACTTTAAAGGGGCAATGTTCATCACAAAGGGAAGAGTCAGGCTCACAGGCACAGGTTAACAAGCTTTCCTCCTGGTTTTGAAACCTCTGCCAGCTCGCTGCCTGCTCTGCTTTCAGGAGGAAAACTTTGTATTATGCTCTTACAGCCTTTCCCAATTTCTGTGAACCAAGAGCTGGTTGAAATGTCTTCCTGCTAACACAAAAAAGAAGATTCACAGTCACGCATCTCGTTTTTAAAGCCACCTTCCGTGGGTTAAAAAATCTCTTTGATTTGGGAAGTGGTTGAAAGAATTTCTGCAAAAACAGGTATTCTCACTGCCCTCTTTGATGCACAGCTTGGTTTTCCACTCCCTTGCACGAAGCAGAAAGGCACCCCTGAAACAAAGGCAACTGCAGGAGCAGCACACACCGATTTTCAGAGGCATAACTTTCTATTTGCAATAGGATATAGGAACAATAAGAATACTGGGCCAAATCACTCCTTCCTGTGGGAGAACCCGTGGCAGAATGCCTTCAGGCAGGAACACACTGAGAGATTTCTCTTGCAGCTTTTTTTTTTTTGAATTTATTCTTTAAATAAAGGCATCACGGAGGATGAGGAAGTGTTGGGTTTTTTTTTTTCCCACAGCACCTATGGAACTGGGGGAACAGGCAGTGACCAGCATGGATGCTCTATGCCAGGCTTCCCTCTTGGAGGTCGTGCTGATGGAACCTTCCTCCTCCCTCTCCTCAAAAGAAAACAAAGACCTCCAGGAAAGAGGACAAACAGGAAACAGGCTGGCAAACAGAGCAAGCCTCAGGTTGCATTCAACACCAGTCCAAAGCCTCTAGGAAACAGGGAAGTGGTCACAAGCATTCAAGTCATCTTCTGCTTTGAAGAAACCCCCTCAGCATCACAGTTATCTTCTGTGAAAAGGAGGAAAAGCAGAGAGCAAGTGACAGAGGAAGAGCATGAACACGCCAGGGGGTGGAGGACAACAGACAACATGGGCCCAAACTGACCAAGACCCTCTTCTCATGGCCTGGCTCTTCTGCAGGAACGTGTCCCCTCTGCTTCATCATTTGTGGAAACCAGGACAGTGAGGTGACTTCAACCCCACAGAGGCACCCGAGGGGGCCTTTAGCTCCTGCTTCTGCCAGAGGCCCACCCTTGATGCCCCACAGAACCCGGGGGGGGGAGTCACTGAGAAAGCAGAGAGCTATAAAAAAGCAAACAGCCCTGTTGCTTCCCATGCAGTCTGTACAGGAAGACACTTGCTAGACCTATTTCCTCCTCTGGGATGAAGCGTGACTCCACTGAACGTTAGAGCTGAGCCCATCAACACTCACTTCCCCCCGTCGCTCACGGGCATGTATTTGTAGTCAATTCTCTTGTTTTAAGACCACTCTCCACAGCTAGAGCTGCTTCTCCTTCTGGTGAGGAGCATCATGGATGAAGCAAAAAGGAGAACACGGGCCACGGGGGAAGGAAGAAGAAAGGAGAAGAAATGATGAGTCTTTAGAGTCACAGTCACTTGACTGGCTGTTGAGAGCAGCATGTCCTGGCCTTGGGAGCTGGTACCAGCCCCTGCTCTTTGCTCCCCTGTCTTTGCACAGGGACAGATAGGAAGAAACACACAATACATGCAAGGAGGGGGAAAACCTGGGTGTGCAGCACAAAGCTCCTCATTGTTCTGCCTTCCAAAAACATCCACACGGACGTTAAAGTAGAAGCCAGGCGCTAATTGGGCCAGGGGAAGATTAAACCTCTCAGCCAAATTCTTTGATTGGTTTCATTAAACACGCCGTGGTAGGGAACGTGGGGAGCAGGGAGGAGAAAGAGGGGAAACAAATGACAGGTTTAGGAATGTGCACACACACACACACACACCCCCCATCCATTTCAAACCACTTTTTTCCCCGTGAGGCCCAAACAGGAATCCTGAGCTGTCTTCATCATTTCCATCTCAGCAATGCTATTAGCTTATTCAAGGCTTTCCCACTGCTTTTTTTTCTTCCTCTCAGTGGCAGAAAAAAACCCAAGGATCATTTAAATGAAGGCCAGACCTCCTAGTATACAAATTTAGAAGAGAACAGAACTTCAAAGAGGGTTCTCACATTTGAATAAACAAAGTTTACCGTTTACCCTTAAGATTATAATACCTAAGAATCGTTACCAACCACTTCTGATGGATCCACTGGTCTCCCACTAAGCTCCTCCACAGAGGAGCAGATTTGACCCCTCGAGCACTCCCCAAAAGCACAGAGGGTCACACTCTCAGCCCAAGAGCTGTGCGGGGTCACCCGTGCCACATCTTGAACGTGACTCTGCCTCCGAGCCGGCGGGAAAGGCAAAGGGGTGAAAAGCCACCGTGTGGGAAGAAAAAAGGGTTAAGGCTGTTCAAAGCACTGCCTCGAGGCAAAGGAAAACTCAAGGAAAAATTTTTCCCAACTGACCTTTTTCATACCAGCTCTGCCCTTGCTACTGAAGTGCTGGTGCTGACTCGGCACCCCAGCGGTGGAGAATTGAGCCGGCAGCGTCACCTCACTGGCACCGCTGCTGGAGCACCAGCTCAGAGCAGCCTACAGGGAAGGGGAGAGGAGCAAGAAAAAGACAGACAGCAGCATGGGATGATCTGGAGGTCACTCTTTCATCCAGCAGCTGGTCAAGATTGAGAAGGTTATCCCAAAGGTTTTGAACTGGTACCTGTAAGTGATGTTCCCCTCTAGGGAAAAACCAAACCAAAGAAAGGCGCAAAGACAGCGACCAAAAGGAGCAGTGGGACTCCCTGAGCACCAAACACACACTCATCTTGCTATGAACTCTGAGCAGCTGGTGACACAACTGCTTTACCTGTGCTAGGGCACGTGTAATACTTTGCTTCTCAAAATGACCTCACAAACCCACAACGTCCATACACCTTTTCTTACCTAACGTGCACACAGATTCACCCAGACCAGGCTGGCGCTCAGCACGTGCTCACAGCCCTGCCTTAAAACTGAGCTAGGGACCAACCACCTTCTGTTCTGAGGGCAGGGCAGGGGAAGAACAGCAAACTAGAACAAGAGGACCCCCACGTTTCCACGTTATTTTGTATGCTGTTGCTACAACACCTAACAGTTGGGCTAAATTTTACATAGTGGAACATATTTACTCCTCCTGTTTGATGTCCTTGCGTGCAGGACAGGACACGCATCTGCATTTTGTTTTCACATAGGTCTTGAAAAATCACCTTCTGATGACTTACAGACCACTAATGATCCTCAGAACCTCGGCTCAGATGACCAAAAGCATCCCTCCATAAAGCACACCAGAATCTGAACTTAGTTGATGCCTTAAGCAGGA